CAACAAGGCCTGGCCTGACCCCTCCCCCCATCCGACTGTCCCTCCAGGAGCCCAACGTGGCCAAACCCTTCTGGGGACACCTCAGACATGGGACACGGAGCAGGAAATGAATCCTGGGAGATGAAGCTGGGCATGGCTCCACCAGGAGCCCCAACCTGCTCCTGGTGGCCCCATCCCTGCTCCTGCTCCCCCTATCTTAGCTCCTGTTGTCACCATTCCTGCTCCCAGTGTCTCCATCTCTGTCCCAGTGACCCCATTCCATTCCTGGCTCCCAGAGATGAACTGTCAGACACTGGAGGAGGGAATCTGGATTTATTGTCCAAAGCAGGATTTATTGCCCAAAGCAGGATAGTTTCACACCAGAAGCAAAGCATTGTGAATATTTGTGGTTCTTGCCTTTAAAGCACTTGAAAATGGGAAATGGATCTGTTTATCACGAGCTGTGGGGTGGGTGGTTGCAGCAGGATGAGCTCTGCTGGCAGCTCTCAGCTTTCCAGGGAAGAGGGAAGGGGCCGGATCCAGCTCCATGGATTGCTCAGGCAGCGACTCCTGCCAGGATGAGAGAGAGTCATGGTGTCACCCTGTCCCTGTCCCCATTCCACAGCTTGGCCTGGCTGGAACCCATGGAGAGCAGGAGCTGCTCCACAATCCCACGTGATCCCACCCCAATCCTGCTGCAACCCTGCTCCATCCATCCCACCCGATCCCACTCCATCCACTCGGCCACAACCCTTCTCCATTCATCCCTCCTGATCCCACTCCAGAATCCAGCCCCAATCCCACTCTACAATTCCACCTGATCCCACTCTGGACTCTGCTCTGATCCAGAATCCATCCCTGATCCCAGTCTGTCCATCCTGCCTCGATCCCCCTCTGGAATCTCACCCTGCTCCTGCTCCATACCTGTGCTCAAGCCATTGGCTCCCACATCTTTTCCTGCAGAAAGAGAAGATCCATGAGATTCCAGCACAGATCACACAGTGGGATTAACCCCAGGATCCATCCTGGGATCCGCACAGAGGGGATCCAGAGCTGGATCCACCACTGGAACTCACCGGCTGCCGGGTTGTATCCATTCCTGTCCCTCCTCCCTGTGGAAACAAAGTGGGATCAGCGTCAGTGGCACAGGATTCCCAGAACGGTGCCGGGTGGATCCGTGTCCCTTCCCAACCCCCATCCCGTGTGTTACCGGATTGGAGCTTCCAGACGCCGAATCCGATGAGGACAATGAGGATGAGGATGGCAGCGATGACGGACACAGCGACCACCACGGGGAGATTCCCGCCAGATGTTCGCTCTGGGAAACGCGGGATAGTGAGGAGGGTGAGGGGAATCCCCATTTGGGAATTCCAAATTCCCAATCCCCACATTCCCAGCCTCACCCCAAGCGAAGATCCCGGGCTCCAGCATTCCGGGATGCTCCACCCTGCACCGGTACTGCTCCCGCTCCTCCGGCAGCGCCTCGATCCTGGCCCAGGTGTGGAAGGTGCCGTCGCTGTTGGGAACGACCCCGCCCCACTCTGTCTCCTGATCCAAGGTTTCACCCCCCTTCATCCAGCTGACTGCGATGGTGTTGGGGTAGAATCCGTACGCGTGGCAGGACAGGGTCAGCGTCCCGTGTTCCTCTCTTCCGGACACGTGGACATCAGGGGGCTCTGGAATGGGATAATGGTGATAGACATCCATGGAATTCCACGGGAGTGGGACTGGGGTGAGATCTGACCATGGAGTTCCATGGGAATGGGATGGGGGGCAAGATCTCCCCGTGAAATTCCATGGGAATGGGGTGGGGGCAAGATCTGCCCATGGAATTTCATAGGAATGGGATGGAAGTCAGATCTATCCATAGAATTCCCACAAGAATTCCCATGTTCCCAAGTCCTCCATCCCCAAATCCCAAATTCCCACAGTAATTCTGCTCCCACCTTTGCGCTCCAGCTCCTTCTGCCCATATCTGACGTATTTCTGGAGCCATTCGGGGCAGATGTGCTTCAGGTAATTCGTCCTCCTCTCAGCCTCCCCTTCGTGTTCCCAGCGCCTCCTGGTGATCTCAGCACCGCTGTCGGCCGGCACGAATCTCCCGGATTCCAGGTCAAAGGAGATGAAATCCCGCCCATCGTAGCCATCCCGGTAGGATCCACGGACGCTCCCATCGGACAGGAGCTCACAGCCATAAACCCACAGCCGTGTGTGGAGACCTGGGGGGATTGTGCCCACAGAGACCCATGGAATTGTGTCCCAGACCCACAGAGCCCCATTCCAGCCCTATGGAGACCCAGAGTCTGAGGGAGACCCACAGAGACTCATCCCAGCCCCTGGGAGCCCCATGGATCCACATCCCAACCCCATGGATCCCAACTCAACCCCACAAACCCCATCCCAGCCCCACAGATCCCATCCCAGCCCCATGGATTCATATCCCCACCCATGAATCATGAGATATTCCATCCTAACCTAATGAATTCTCATTTCACCCCCTTGGAGCTCTGTAAGTCCACACCTGAGACCTATAGATCCCATTCCAGCCCCATGGATCGCAAAATATCCCATCCCAGCCTAATGGATCCCTGTTTCAGCCCCTTGGAGCCCAGTGAGTCCACAACTGGAGACCTGCAGAACCCATCCCAGCCATTCAGTTCCCATTCCAGCCCCACAAATCCCATCCCAGCCCCATGGATTCATATCCCAATCCCATGGGTCCACATCCCAACCCATGGATCATGACATATTCCATCCCAACCTAATGAATTCTCATTTCACCCCCTTGGAACCCTGTAAGTCCACACATGAGACCTATAGATCCATTCCAGCCCCATGGATCCCCATCCCAACCCCATGGATCCCAATCCAGCCCCACAGATCCCATCCCAGCCCCATGGATCACAAGCTATCCCATCCCAGTCTAAAGGATCCCCATTTCAACCCTCTGGAGCCCTGTGAATCCACACCTGAGACCTACAGTCCCTATCCCAGCCCCATGAATCCCAACCCAGCCCCACGGATCTCATCCCAGCCCCACGGATCCCAACCTGTGGATCACAAAATATCCCATCCCAACTTAATGGATCCCCATTTCAGCCCCTTGGAGTCCTGTGAATACACATTGGGGACCTATAGATCACATCCCAGCCCATAAATCCTCATCCAAGCTCTACAGTTCCCATTCCAGCCCCACGAATCCACATCCCAGCCCCCCAGATCCCATCCCAGCCCCATGGGTCACAAGTTATCCCATCCCAGCCTAATGGATCCGCGTTTCAGTGCCTTGGAGCCCTGTGAATGCACCCCTGGGACCTATAGATCCCATCCCAGTCCTATGGATCCTCACCCCAGCCCTAAGTTCCCATCCCAGTCCCACAGATCCCATCCTAGCCCCATGGATCCACATCCCAGCCCCATGGATCCCATCCCAGTCTCACAGATCCCACATCAGCCCCACACATCCTGACCCATGGATCGCAAGATATTCCATCCCAACCTAATGGATCCTCATTTTTACTCTCTTGGAGAGGTGTGAATCCACATCCAAGACCTATAGATCCCATCCCAGTCCCCCAGATCCCATTCCAGCACCACAAATCTCATTTCAGCCCAACAGATCCCATTCCAGCCCCACGGATCCACATCCCAACCCCACAGTTCCCATCCCAGCCCCACAGCTCCCCCGACTCACCCCCGCTCTGGTTGTACCGCTCCCGCAGTATCTCCAGGTTCCTGGCAGCCACGTGCTGGTTCTCCACATTGATCTGGGTCTGCCCCTCCCAATACTCCGGCTCAGCTCCATCCTTTATCCACTGCGTCAGTGGCTCCACCCGGCCCCGCTCGCTGTCATAGCGCGCGAAGGGGATCCCATCCAGGTACCCCAAGGACATGTACTGGGGGATTCCCGGGCTGGGCTCCGACACCCCCACATCCAGGTAATGCAGTGAGTGGAGAACTGGGGGGACACAGAGATTTGGGGGGGTTGAGGGGATCATGGAACAATGAAAGGGGAACTGGGAAGGGGTTTGGGGATCCTGGGGCCAAGGAAAGGGTGTGCAGGGTGGGAGAGGTGGGATGGACAGGAAAGGGCTTGCAGGG